CAGCAGCACCTGGAATTCGTTGGTTAGTGGTTGCATTATGTTTCTGGCCACGTTTATGTCAACTGTCATCCCCAGAGCCTATAACCAGTGTCAGGCACATTTGTTTTTCAGTAAGTATTTGTTCGTCTATTAATTGGAACTGGCAATACCATGAACATTTTTCCATGTCAGAAAAGATTTCTCCAGAACATCATGGGGATGGCTATATCCAGTGGTTATGTGTGACATAAATTATTTTTATCAATTCTTCTAAAACTGCAGGACATGTTGGTATTTTCCAGTTTTTCACTATGCCAATCATGCAGTGAGATAAGCAGGTCAATGGCTGAATATGTGTGCACATCCAAGATTAATTCCTTAGGAAAATTTCCTAGAAGTAGGATGGCTATATTAAACAGTGTGTATTTTTAAGGCCTCTGACAATATGTATTAAATTATGCTGCAGAAATATGGAACCAATCAACACTCTCACTAGCCATATTAGGAAAGTGCTCATTTACTACACCCTTGCCAGTCTCTGAGCACTGACAAAAATCTTTGTCAGTGCTATTTTTAACAGAAAAACTGAGTAGAAGTCACAGACATATCATGTACATGCTTATGGTCAAGGTAGTGCTGAAGAAAAGTGAACAGAAGGAAGTCTGTTTTGCTTCTTGGGACATTCATCATGACATGCCTTTAACTGAGCATCCTCCTACTAAACACTGAGTAAAACCAAGAAGAGGTCCATTCTCCTTTCCTGGTTGTAAAACTGAAGCCAAATTTAACTGTCTCCAAATGAACTGCTTTAAATTGTAAATATTACCCAATGCATTTAAATTCAGTAGTGTTCTAAATATAGATCTCATTATTTTTATTCGCATTGAAAAATAAGGAGAAATAAATCTTAGGCCAAATTTTAAAAAATGGCTTGGCTATGGTATTTGGAAATAATTGCTAAATCTAAAACTCTGCATAAGAATTGCAGAAACACTAAGAACATCTGAAAATCACATGGGTTAAGTGAGAAAAGTCTATTTTCTGAATGACCTGAACAGAAACAGAATGGGATAGATTAAACGAGCCCTTCTTGTGGATCCAGAGTGTTGCTCAATAATTCATTGACTTGGTTTAAAAAAAAAAAAAAAAAAAAAAAAGGCACTGGAAAGGAGCTGATCACTGACTCCCTGTAAAAGATTGTACATGGAAGTGTTACTGGAAAATTAAACTCCCCTGTCGCTCATGGGAATGAGGTGGAGGTTCTTGGGGCGCTGCTGAAATAAGCATTTTCAGAATCCCCCATGGGAGAATGGGATGTGGAAGGTGGCTTTATTGGCATGGAGTTCCATTTCTCAGCTTGTAATGTCCCATTTCCCCCAAGCCAGTCCTGAAAGAGGGGCAGCTGGGAGTTCAGCAGAGCCAGAAGCAGGGCCAGTGTCCAGAGCTTCTGTTCCATGTTGCAGCTGAGTATAGTTCAGCATCCAAGCTAATTCAAGTCTACTAGTCAATGTGTGGAGTCCAGCACGGCCATGTGCCATGTGAACACAGGGGAGTGTATCTGGTGCCACAGGAGAGCCAGGAACCTGGCACATGAGAGGGAGAAGAAAGGTGAGGGAGCTTGATTTGTTCGGAAGATTAAATATTTAGGTGTCCTGCACCCATTCTGGCCACTAACTGGCTTTCCGGTGTGATTGGTGGGCAGACAGGCACCTTCCCAGGTCACTTAGACCTTCACTGGACATACGTCTAAACTGACTTTGTCTAGTCTCTTCCCCCATCAATCAGCAGAACAGACTTGGAGAATGTTAAATGCAGCTTTTTTACAAAGCTGTATAAATGGCATGCCTATATCTAGCCTTTCCTTTCCTCCTTTTCTGTTAAATAATATCCAGGTTAATACAATAGCATCAGGAGATACCAAGAAACATCACAATGGGACCCTAAACCCCAACATACTGTTAACTCCTGTAAGCAAATGCCAGGCCAAAAAAAAAAAGAAATTAAGGCAAGACTATTGACAGAACTCAAGAGAGTACGCAAAGACTGAGTTTGTGTGTCTTGGAAGAAAGCAACCATAGAGAGCTGCAGAGGACTGCCCTGGCAGAGGCGGAACCAGAAACTAAGGGGGTTGGAAATTAGCATTTAGTTAAAAAGACAAGTAGGGGGGAAAAGGAACTTCTTGACCAAAGTTGGAAATGTAGGTAAACACAGCAAGGGGTTTGGAGAAGTTGGGTGCAGGCAGGCCCTGAAGGACCTTAACTACTAATGTGAGCAAGTCTTCTGAGAAGACTATGTATTGAGCAGAATCAAAGGGTTATTACTATATTGTTTATGGTTTATTATCTTTAGGTAGAAGACAATATTGCAATAAGAGTTAAACCTCGTCTGTATTTCTCTAGATAGGTGTTGAACAATAACGTCATTTAAGACCTTCCTCTATGGATTCCCAACTACCATTTCAATTTTTGCCCTTTTATGTATCATATGACCTAACTGATCCAGTGACTTGTCAGCATTTGTTCGCTTCCCGGTCTTGCCTTTCCCTTCATTGTTTTCTCAGTCTGAAAATTATGTATCCTTCCCTGTGCTTAAATCTGATGCCGTGCAGGCATTAGTGAAATGCTACTTTTCCTGTTAAGAAGCTCTTCTGTATTTTGGTGGATCGATTTCCCACTTTCTTTGTGCTGGTAATTGACACATTCTCCCCTAAATGATACTTACTCCTACTCTTAACTTCAGTTCTCCGTTGAATTCTTAACTTCAAGAGGGCAGATAACATGACCTTCTTTCTTAAATGTTTCAATAATTTCCCCTTCTTTAAACTAACACATAATCATTATAAAATGTCAGAAATATGAAGTCAGAGATTACCCATTGTTCTACCAATGAAAGACATCTGTTTAAATTGTTGGACACTTACTTTTAGCCTTTTATCAATGCATTTTTTATTAAGATCTTCCCAAATGTATACTTTTATATTAATAGCTAATATTTATTAAATGCTTACTATAACCCAAGTACTGATTTTAGTAATTCATATATTAATTAAATGTCTTCACAAGAACCATATGCAGTAGTTAGCATTTTTATCCCTTTACAGGTGAAGAAATGACCCAGAGAGGTCACTTGCCCAAGGACACACCCAAATAAGTGAGAATATGAAAAATGGGGAGGCTGCAGGTAACACTGCTTTTGAAAAGACTCAAATAATTTTTTAACTGGAAGCAAAATGTTCTCTCATGTTGATGTACCATAATTTACTTAACTATTTTTCTTGAAATTGACATTTAAAGTTGCTCTTATTGTCATTTAAAATGGCACTGCAACTATCATTTTAGTGCCCCAGACTTTTTTTTTTTTACGATAAAGTAATAATCCAAGTGAATTATTAGGTCAAAAGATATGATTATTTGGAAGCCTGTGATTTATATTACCAAGTTGTTTTCCCAAAGAGTTTCAAAAATCATGGTTCCTGGAGTAGTCACTGAAGAGTACTCTAGTGACATATTAACACTGACTTTTTAAAATAACTTTAATTCCATGGGTAAACACATGGTTATTATATATATTTGTTTCTCTTCCTTTGCTAGTGGAAGTAAATACTCTTATGCAAATTGCCTTTTTATATCTTTTGTGAAGTCCATTCCAATTCTTTGCCTATTGGTTTACTGAATCTCTTAGTATTCTTTTATCAGCTTGAAAACAGCTTTACAATAGAAGTATAATATGCCTGTCAGAATTACTATAGACTGTATCTGTGTTTGACAGTTTGACTATTTCAGTCATTTCTAGGAATTTGAAAGTTAAATTTTTATCTTTGCTTTTTAGTTGTAATTTCTTCTATCCCTTTTAAATCTATGAAGCCCTTGCCTCTCGAGAGTTATTAAATATTTCTATTTTCTTTTAAATAAAGTAGATATCTTGTGTTTTTAAAATAATTTTTATTCTATCTCTCAATTTATTGATTTGGTAGGATGGTTGAGAAACTTATAAAAATTTAAGAAAAATATTTTTTCTTTGATTATTTAAACAGTTAACACCAGGGGCTCCGTCTTACTCCTGTATGTGCATTGTGTGGGCTCAATACAAAGCCCTACAAAATCTAGGCCTAACATAAAAGCTTATTACAGTTGGCCTGGGCCTTTTATGCCATTGGCTGTGATTTGAAGATACACATTAATGCTGAGTTGTGGGTGCTGGTGCAGTATTCTATTGAGTGTCATATCTTTGGTTTTGACATTTCTTTCAAGAAGAAATGGAAGATTTCTTCCAAGAGATGAAATAGAATACCTGATGAAACATTTAGATGTTTTTGTAAGAAAAAAAATGTGCTATAATGGGCAGGATTTTTGTCATTCTTTGAGTTTCCTTATCTTATGCTATTAACAAATGTGTTTAGACTACTACACAGTTCAGTTGTGGTGGCGACACTGGTGCAGAACTAGGACAAACTTTTACAAAAGAAAAGCCATATGACTAACACTGAACCATCAAACATTTTAAACAACATGTTACATTTAACAATACTTTATTTGAAATGCAGAATTTTAAAACCAGCTAATGTGTCTAGTTTAAATGAGCATTATAAACATTTTTGGAAATATATGCAATATTTACAAGAATGGTGTATATATTTATTTTAATCTAATACTAAACTCCTGGCAGAGTAGAAAGGTATAGCTAGAGCCAAATCTGTGACTGAGTATAATGTTGAAGCTGGTGGTGCACTAGGGACTACTGCTGTGGCTGGTGTCATCATCGGAGTCTAATCCTCTAAAGCAGAGCATTCATAAACATGGTTGAGCTTCTCAGCAATTTGAGTCAGACATTTGCTGAACAGATGATGCCACCTTGAGAACATTCTTAACCTTGATGTCATCCTTTGATGGCAGCATTTTAACCTGAGGGAGTATTTGTTTGCTTTTCATGGACTTGACTGACAAATACCCACAGAGCATTAATTGAAATCTTGAGGGATGTGATTCTCTGCTCAATCAGTTTCTCGGCAGTAACATGCTGGACCAACTCCTCAGCTGACCACTCCTCAAGCCCGGTTTCCACCTCCCGGATCCATCAACTTCTCAATATCCCACTCCATTACAGGGGTCACCAGCTGATTGACATTCTTGTTGAGGGCGCCTGGGAGAATCCAGAGAAACTCTTCAGGGTGAAATTGCCCTGGTTGGTTCCTGGGTTGGATCCTTCCCGGGAGTTCAGTCCGCACCTTGGAACTTGGACTTTATATCTTCTGATATGATGGCCCCTTGACTCTCCTCCCAACACGGAGTCTGTGAAAAAGCTCAACCATACAAAGGAACTTGTTCTCTTCAGATGACATCTATGTTTTTGAAAATGTTGGTTCGATATTACTGGAACCCTGTTACTCCATATTTCTTCAAGACAGAAAGAGTGTGTGGGTCCATCTCTCCATTTCCAGAGGCCCTTGAGATCTTCCTTAAACTAGCCATTTGAAGAAGAGGTATTGTAATACTAGCCCCAGGTGTAACATCTGGTGCCTTGAAACCTGAATAAGCTGGGTTATGCCGTTTAGCCCAATGATTTGCTGCGGTGGATAAATTTGGGAACATCCGAGGTGATAGTTCAAGCATGGCTGGGTGTCTTATAGCACCACAATACTCAAAGAATTGGCCGACGGCTCGCTTTACTGTCTTTGATTTCTCCTCAAATAGGATAATTTCACTTATAATAGCTGGAAGGGCTAGAGTGCCATCTGTGCACTGTTCCAGAAACATTCTTATAATATAGTATGTAGTCATTTGAGAACGCCCCGCAACAAGTTTGACCTGATCAAGCATCTCTTTCCCAGGTGATTCAAACTCACGTGTTAGTAGAGCAAACACAAGTGATCCCACCCAAGGCTTAGAGTTGATCCAATCAACGGCAGGCCCTGCATTGTAATTCAAAAGGAGGTTGGCACTATCTCCGTGAGTTGGCCGTTGGAGACAAACCATCATAGTCTTGAATCGTTTTTGAATCTGAAAACTGTTTGCCCTCACCTTATCACTGGATCCTTTCACTACACCTATTAAAAGATCACAACAATGTCTTAACATGGACGACATCTCTGGTGCCGTAAATTTAGGAGACTTCCCCTTATAGCTGGTACTATAGAGTGCTTTAAGAACTATCTTCCCCTCTACTGGATTAACAAGGTGTGATTCTTTTTTAACACCAACAGATAGAAGATTCTCATATAATCCATCAAATAGGAAGCAGAGGTAGATTAGACTAGCAGTAACTGGGTGAAACAATGCTCTATGTTCAGGATCAAACATTGACTTTGCAGCCCTCTCAATATCTTCTTTCTCTCCGATCCCAGGCTGTGGTTCCTCATCATCTGTAGGGTACTGACGAAACTTGCCAGTTAAGTTAAACTCCATGTTTGGCTTATAGTGGCTGTGCTCCTCCTCCTCAGGCTCTTCTATATCCTGATCATAGGGGTGGGACGGGCCTGGAGCTTGGTCAGTTTGAGGCATTGTGTTGGTTCCTAGCACAACATATTTGCATTAGGTTAGACTATGAAACAGTAAGACCACATTTAAATTCTTTGAGAAATGATAGCATCAATTTATAGTGATCACTTTGAAGGTGCAAAGCTGCTTTGCATTTAAGTTCTATAATCTTTAATAATTATTTTATACAAGTATCATATTATACATAAGAAACTTCTGATCATTAATTTGAGCCCTTACATATTTCTACCAGTTCTCCTCCAAATATTCTACCCAAATTCTTTTATTGTAAGAAGTCATGCAAGGCAAAATATTTTGCCAACAATGGTTAATTCTGGGTAAACAAATGAAGAAAACTTCACTCCTCATCAAAACAACAAAAAAAGAACCCGTAAAATATGTCTGTGGTTGAAGTAATACATAAACTTCTAAGAATAGAAGTGAGACTAGATTGTGACTCTCTAAATTAGAATTTTAAATTAGATACCCAGACAGAGCTGATTAATTTTAATAAAGGAGAATGGTATACATAATTGTAGAAATACTGCCATGTAAAACACACCCCAAATAAGTATCACACCTACATAAATAAGTAAAGACTGTGCACTGAGATGTACAAGAGGTGAAAGGTGAATTTGGGTGTGGAATTTGCTGAATGACTTCCAATCAAGTATTTGTCAAAGAGAATTCTCAATGGCAAAAGAATTATAGCAGTTAATTCCTAGGCAGAACTTTTCATTTGGAACACAGGTACCAAAATACACTCCCATAGTACATGGCTCATCTTCTCTGTCACCTTACTTCCCTTATTTGTAATCAGAGGTTGGTTTCTAAGGAAATTTGTGATTTAAAGTGACACAAATTCTTCCTCCATATCTTGTCCTCTAAAGTCTTGCTCTGACTTCAGAGTTCAATTAGAAGCAGTCAGCCTGATGTGCCCTGCTCTCACACTACATTTTTAAATTTTGTATCCTGCAATGATACCACAACCTTTCTAAAAACTGAGCCTTTTGCTACCATATTCTGAAGCTTAAATTCTAAGATTTTCCTACTCATGTTTTATCCAAATTACTTTTTCTCTTGAAGGTCTCATGATTTTCAAATTAAGTTATACCTTTAATTATATTTTCTGCCTCTATAAAGTTGAATACACATTCCATGTGAACAAAATCTCCATCTTATTTTCCACTATTTTGCCAGTGCTTGGCACGTACATATTTAATGAATGAAGAGAAAAACACTTATTTCCATGATGTAGCATTTTCAAAGCATGGTATGTAGGTGTCCCTGTCCCCATTACCCATTCTTCTGACCATTATCAGGATCCATCCCATGAGAGCACTAAACACAGTGCCTCTTCCCTAAATCACAGCCCCTCCTCATCCTAGACAGGCAGATTAATTAAAGTATGGTTTAGTGCCCCTGGGGGGTTCCTGAGATCCTTTCAGGGTGTTCATGATATCAAAACTACTTTCACAGTAATACCAAGGTGCTATGTGCCTTTTTCACTTGTTTTCTCACAAGTGCACAATGGAGTTTTCTAGATGCTATGACATCAGAGCCATCACTGTGATATCTAATGGAACATGTATTTGTAAACTTTTGTGTTTTAAAACTTTCCATTTAAATATGTTAAGTACTAATAACTGTGCCCCACGTAAACATAGGTCTTTGACATCTTCTCTGGATCTCATGCATGATGATTGCCCATGGCTTTTAGGGAACATGTTCTCAATTCCAAATAAGTAACTCGCAGGGGATCCTTAGAAGCACCATCATATACACCAGACCTCCCACTTATGTATGGAATAGACCTTCAATGAGACCTGCACTGTTGTCAAAATTTAGCAGAGAGCCCTAAAACCGGTCAGTTCCAAGAAACCCAAATGGAGGGATAAGACCATCTACGTAGCACATGGTAAACTTGCAACTAGTAATCCACGTTTAGATCATATAGAACAAATTTTTGCATGAAGAAGGTAGTAATTAATAACTTTGAGGCAGGTAGTAACTGTTATGTATTTCCCATGGGGGACGGGAAAGATATTCCTTCCATTCATCTCAAATCAGGTGAAGGGAACTTGGAAGAAACCACTTGGAGAACTTGTCATGCTTCCCTTGGGACGTGGGTCTAGGGGACAGTCTAAAAATAGTCCAGAGCGGTTAGTTGGCAGCATTTGAGAAGGCAAAGTGAAGAGAGAAAGGGCTGCCCTTCAACAAACAGTGAATAAAATACATACATTTTCCATGGGCTGGGTAAGGAGTTGGCTGCAAGCTCTCTTGACATGGAAGAGGGCTTCTGGCTGTGAGCACATCAAACATCCATTAACGAAACAGGGAGGATATAAGTTGAGAGGGCTCCAGGCAACAGCAGGAGAGAGGCTGAGAGGTGAGGGGGTACAGGGCCCAAAGAGGTCTCGAAAGTCTCCCAAAAGAGAGTCAGCTTTTGTTACCTGCCACAACTAGAGGGTACCAGTGTCCTTTTAACTGTGTTGATCAACTAAGGCTTCCTGTCCTGGCCAGCTGGCTCAGAGGATGGAGCACCGGCCTGCGCCTGAAGGGTCCCGGGTTCCATTCTGGCCAGGGGCACAGGCCTCGGCTACAGGCTGGAGTCCTGGCCTGACCCCAGCCCTGGTCAGGGCAACCAATCGAAACATCAGTGTTTCTCTCTCTCTCTCTCCCCACTTCCACTCTCTGAAAAGCTATGGAGAGGGTATCCTTGGGTGAGGATTTAAAAATAAAAAATAAAAATAAGGCTTCCCTTCAAATGGAAGGAAAAAAAGATTTAAAGAAAGATCTATATGAGATGAGTGTTAATCAGTTTGGTAATTATTTTGCTATGTATGTAAATCAAGTCACTATTCTGTACACTTGCAACTTACATGGTGCCATATGTCCATTACGTCTCAGTAACACCAAAGGCACAAAATATTCCTGGGGGCGAAAAAGGCAGGGCCAGATGGCTTCAGTGATGACTTCTACCGAACATTTAAGGAAGCAGTCAGCTCTTCCAGAACACACACGAGCAGGACGCCCTCCTCAAACCATTCAGCACGCCCAGTATTACCTCTGTGCCAACCCAGGCACAAGGAACGACGGCGCCACGCGCCCCTCAGAACACGTCCACTGTCACCGCTGACACTGACAACGCAGAATGGCAAAGCCACCTTGGAAAATATTTTGGTCGCTTCTTATATAAAGTTAAGTACTTATCATATGAGCCAGCAATTCCACTTAAGTATTAAACCAAGAGAACTGAAAACATTTGTGCACAAAGACCTAGATGGGACCGTTCATAGCAGCTGTGTTTCCGAGCAGCCAAAAACTGAAAACGACTCAGATCTCGTCAACTAGTAAATGGATAAACAGGTACAAGGTACATCCTACAGTGTTTACTACTCAGCAATAAAGAGAACGTACAGATACACCTGACAACTTGGGCCAATATCCAAAGCGTTATGAGAGAGAAAAAAAGTCCAAGCAAACAAATAAACACAAGCATACTCTATGATCTCATTTATATTATATAACATTCAAGTAAAAACGGTAAGGATAGAAATCAGATCAGTGGTTGACAGGGACCGGGAGGGGGAAAGGACCACAAAGGGACAGGAGAAAGCTTTTTGTTGTAATGGAGATATGTAACTTGATAATGGTGATTACAGGACAACAGAAAATTTATTAAAACTCCTTCAACTGTACATTTAAATACAGAAATTTGTTGCAAGTATATTATAATTCAATAACCCTGAAATGAAAATTACCCTGAATGGAAATAAGTATATAAATTTTTTAAGAAGATTCTCAGCCCAATGAGAAAGGAATTATAAACTGGATGACAGCTTTGAGCTTTAATATTTTAATACCTGGCATTTAAGACCTGGACAAGGAGACTACTTATTTATTACCTGTGTAAGCAATCAGATCTACCAAGATTCCACCCAGGAGTGGCAGGATGAAGTCCACACAGGACATTCAAAGGGAAAGAAGGGGAAAAAGGGGGCATTGTCCTCTAGGACATAGGAAAAGCATCTTGGTCACGTATCCAAGAAGAAATGTTGGGGACACGCTAACTCGTGTTAAATTTGACAATTTTTCATCCTGGCTTTCAATATGATCACAACCTCTCTTTCCAGCATTGTCACTCCTGAAACACTTTCATCTTTTTTTTCCAGCTCTGCTATCCCTACCCCCAACCTGCCCCATTCTTCTGCACACCTGTAGATGCACAATTTCCCCTTTCTAGAAAGTTCCTCTTATTTCTGCCATTTGAAAACTTTTGTGACGCTCAAGGTTAACTTCAAAAGCTCTTACATAAAGCTTATAAAGAAGAAACAGCTGGGATGCCAAATCCTAAAATCTTTTACGAGCTGCCAGTGGCGTATGACACCACCTCTGCTTGATTTCTGAGAATTAGTTTCATAGGATTCACTCCAAAAAAAAAAAAAAAAAAAAAAA